TCTCCAACCATCTCGGTGTTGATCAATGGTGAGGCGAAAGGTTTTTTTTTTCTGCTCACAAAGGTCTGCGTCAGGGTGATCCATTGTCTCCAGGTTTGTTTGTACTTGCTATGGACATTCTCTCATTTATGCTAACCAAGCTTAAAGATGATGGTAAGCTGAAATGTTTCTTTATGAGCGAAGAGGAGCAACTCAGAGAAGTGACTCACTTGCTCTTCGCTGATGACACGCTCATATTTTGTGACGCTTCTCACGAGCAGATTCTTCACATCACAGCCACTCTTGCTTGTTTTCAGGCGGTTACAGGGTTAAAGATCAATTTGGACAAAACTTTCATCTACACGGTGGGGGATATTCCTGAACTTGAGTTCTACGCTAATATTCAGGGCTGTAAGTGGAGTGCCAATTCTCCTAAGTACCTGGGTTATCCTTTGGGAGTGAAGCTTAACGTCAACACTTTTTGGGAGCCGGTTCTGGCCAACCATAAAAAGAAGCTGGAAAGTTGGAGTTGTAGATATCTCTCGGCCGGAGGGAGATTGGTTCTTCTCAAAGCTGTGCTGTCCAATCTTTCTGGTTATTACTTCACGCTCTTTAAAGCTCCAAAGAAGGTAATTAAAAACATGGAAAAAATTCAAAGAGCCTTTCTGTGGAGTGGTGTTGGGGATAAGAAGAGAACCCCATTGGTTGAGTGGAATATCTGCAAGTCGCACAAGAATAATGGTGGCCTAGGTATTAGGGATCTAGCTTCTTTCAATAGCGCTATGTTATGCAAGTGGCTGTGGAAGTTTGGGATCAATCTGAATAGATGGTGGAGGACGTTAATTGATATCAAATTCTCTAAAGGCGAGACCCAATGGTATTCTGGTGTCATTAGAGGTGGCTGTTCGAGCTCTATATGGTCAAACATTGTGAAGGAAGCAGGGCTGTTTTGGAAACACGCGATTGTCGATTCAGGAAGCGGAGCTCAAGTCTCCTTTTGGCATGATCGATGGCTTTCAAATTCTTCTCTTGCGGTTAACTTTCCTCGAGTTTCTGGGATGCTAGGATCAGCGACATCGTAAAACTCTCAGGTGACAATGTTTCTTTTCATATTCATACTGATTTTGATCTGAGAACAGGAGCTGAACAAGAAAGGCTTAATTTGTTATCGCTGCTTGATTCTTTTAATTTTAGTAGTTGCGCTAATAGTCCGTGCAGGCGTGTGTCACTTCCTGATCCGGAGTCAGGGTTCTCGTTCAACTCTATGTACAGATCCTTGCTCGATATCAAGTGTTCTGGAGTTTCCAATTTAACAACAGTCTCGAAGATCTGTTTCTTCATGTGGTCCGTGGCTCACAACAAGATTTTAACGCAAGACAGGATGAAAAGACAAGGATGGAATCTAGCTAGCAGATGCGAGTTGTGTTACAAGGAAGAAGAAACGACAAACCATCTTCTCGCTGAGTGTACCTACACTAAACAAGTATGGAACATGATCAAAAGAATTTGCAGACATCTTCGGTTCCCTCTTGGCAACAACATCGACACTACTTTGAAGAATTGGCCAACTGAAATACCGGATGGAATGGAGGGTTGGTTCAGATATTGTGCTCTTCACGTTGTATCTTGGTTCATTTGGATTGAAAGGAATAGCAGAATCTTCAATGGTGATATGAGAGACCCAGATCATACTGCTGGGAAAACCCTGAAGAGTGTTGTGGGTTGGGGAGTGGCGAATGGAAAAATAGACAATCGGAGTGCCGCTTCCTGGCTTCGGGATTGCTCTCGACAGATTCATGGACGATGGCTTTTGGTCGCTCAATGCAGTTCTGTGAGGCAGTCTTCAGGATTTTCGCTAACAGGAGGTTTCCTTTGCTGCTCGCTGCCCGTTGCAGCTTTCTTTTTCTTTGTATGCTCCGGGTGGTTTTCTGGTTACTCTGATCTTTTCTTGTGTGAACTAGCTGGAACGATCTGGTCCGTTCTGCTAGCTCCTGCCTTCTTTTTCTTTTGTTCTGTTTTCGATTTCTACCTTTGGCTCTGTTTTTTGTTTTTCTCTTTTTGCCTTTTCTTCCCTCGAGATCAACCCTTTTGATCTCTGGGCTGTACAGACTGCTTTGTTTATTCTCTTTAATATATCACTTTCATAAAAAAAAAGTTCATACCTCAGAGCTTCCTTTTCAATGGTACCAATGAAAACACTTGCCTTCGACTGCAATGCAGGTAAGAACTCATACTCTCATTCTAAAATAAATGAATCTATCATAGCAATAACAAGTCTCCAATATAAAGATGTGATTGGATGCGCTAGGCGCCTCACCCTTCCAAAAACTGTTGATGGTGCACTGAAGCAAATCATTCTGGTCATACAAGATGTTAGGTGTGTTTTAAATAAAAAAGATGTCATAGTATGTGCTTTCTGCGTTTGTACAATTTCACAAATATGTGTTTTGAAACAGCTGAGCAAAAGCCATTTTTCATTACCAAGGGTATAATACATGTTACTACTTAGAAAGTGCACCAGAAGCTGAGTCTCGACTACCTCTGATCACCACAATAACAACACTACAACGAGTACCTCCCGCAACCACCAATCGACATCAATATGAGTTTGAGTCCACTCCTGGCAGTCGTCTTTTCATAAATTCCTACACAGATGAATGCAAGGACGTCATGAACATGTACATATTTTATGCAGAGAACTACCACACATTCATTGCATAGGATATTTTGCTCTTACATTGTCAACACACTAACAACTATTTCTTTCTATAATACAGTGACCTGTCAATCCGCAAACCAATTCCATACATCAGTGCTTCCACTGGAGAAAAGATTGGATACCTGCGTAACACACTGCCACCCAAGAAAACACTGATTGAAATCAAGGAGAAACTTACTTCTCAGCCAGACCACAATAAGGTACATGCAAACCTATATGACTTGCAATAACAAAAGCACACACATGTTGCCTTTTCCGCCCATCCTCCCTAACCACAATAATAATTTTCATTGCAGATCCTTTATCGTTGCCTCTTTGACATCACACAATTTTTCTACGGAAAGAGCATCTGCAGATCTACTCAAGCATGCCCAAGGTAAATTTAAATCATCACAAACACACATTTGATTGCACAGATTAACATATTTTCACATAAATTATAACCCAACTTTTTTATTCAAGTTTGCATTACAAGCTGCAAGCTAAATGTCGCCACGGTTCAATTGACATTGATGCTATATTTGAACATGAAGCAGTCCTGTCTCTCATCTGCATATCTCCCACTAAATTTCTCAAGTTAAACAAAGAGGAACAACAAGCTCTAATCAAGAGAAATTGTGCAAAGACATTTGCAGTCGAGTTGTATATCGCATTGCCAGATCAGTAGTCCCAGCATTCAGAAGCCATACCCGAGGTTAGAATCGCCACTCTCTGGAACCAGTCTGCATTTAACAATGGTCTCTTTTGTGTAATGAAACATGAATGCTAAGGCATGAAATAGTGGCTATCGTAGGATCAAAATATAATCTCATTGTGTAAGTCTGTGTCAGATAGTCTGTCATTTCAACGATAATTAGTATCAAACAAGAATCAATAGTCTCAGTGGGTATATTTACATTCTTCAGCAACTCTGTTTTATACAACCAGGCTAAGAAAAAAACACTAAACAATTTAGCATGATTCACAGAATTATAAAAAACTCTGTTCCCCGCCGTAGAGCGCGGGCTAATAACTAGTCTTCTATTATAGCTCCAAGGCAAACAAAAAAAAAAGAAAGATAAACAAACAAGTCTCACATCTTAATTTAATTACCTATAAAACAATAAACTACATTTCCTCTTTCTCCATACCATATGGCCACCCATAGGGGCATATTCTATAATCAACACAAACCAAACTTCGAGAGTTACATTGCTAGAAATAGTTGAGAGGTTTTTTGGTTGGATGTGTTAATTGCATGTTATTTATTTATTTATTTATTTTACATCGTCCAGCAGAAGTTAGTCTACAAGGAAAATTGGTGGTCTATCGATCCACAATTCTCTACTATTCCAATGTGTCTCACTGTAAGCCATTATATGCGCCGCATTATTGGTCATACGTCTCACATGGCTGACGCTGGCTATGCTCGAACCTGTAATCTGCAAAATACTAGCAATACACCTATAGAGGATTCCTGTCTTGGTATGATCTTCATCATGTTGCCTGAGCTTCTCAACTATGGATAGGCAATCCATCTCCAGAAGCGGTTGCTGAAATACTAGTTGGTGGGCTAGTTGGACCCCAAACTCCTCTGCTAAAGCTTCCGCCATCTCCACCTCATATGAACCACGTACCATCTTGGCCGCTACAGCAAGGAAGCGTCTGTGATGATCTCTAAACACCGTCCCTAGACCTATTCCTCAATTTTCAAACAACCCAGCATCAGTGTTGATTTTAACATGGCCCACAGGTGGTCTCACCCACACTAGAACACTCAGTTGATCGCTACTCATCACTTCTGGGCCTTGGTTATTTTGATATTCGTACAGGATGGACATGTTATTTACTTTTGCATGTAATTGAGTGTGATGTATGTTCAAATGTTTTTTTATTTGAGGGAGGCTAAAAAACTAGTAGCGTTAACAAACAAAGATCAATAGAAAAGAACTGGAGTCTACAAGCAGAGTGGCAAGCCCGATGATAGAAACCCAATTTTCTGGCTATATCATAATTATCATTAATAGTATTTATTAGGATATTATTAGATATGGTTAGTAGTCTTTGAGTCATATTAGGATAGTCTATTAGGTTTTTCCCGTCTTTTGTTATAAATCTTTAATTTGGGGTCTTTTGTACGGGAGACAGAAATCAGTAAAAGAATTATCTTCCCAAACCCTAAACTCTCCCTATCTCCTAATTTCTCTTCTTGCCTAGTCCAAGGCTTCGGCCTATTCTTTACTATGTTCTTCCTCTACTAATCTCAATCTCAATCCCTAATTCTGTTCGTATAAACCCTAATCCCCAAATGTCAAAGCCGATAGAACATTGTTTCTATCATTTGGTATCAGAGCATGGTCACGAATCTGAGTTCATCACAACTCTCAACCAGGGACGAACGCGTATATGAAGATCTCGTACCCGACTCTTTCAGATGGGAACATCAGAATCGTGTTAGCCTATTCTATTCCTTGCTTGGATTCGAGGAAGAGCACGTAGTCGTACAACAAACTACATCGAATGTGCTTACAATTACAGCAGAGCACCCATTGGATTATGACAATAAATGGATACGTTTCCAAAGACACATAAGATTCAGAGCCATCTGCAACGTCGCGGATTATCGCGCTGGCTACGGCAAACTCAATTTCATCATTAAAGTTCCTAAATTAATTCCACTAGTCACCACCAAAGAAGAAGATCTGGACGCCGAGGACCACTCCTCTAAGGCGGCTGCTTCTGACTCCGCAGAAGAAACTTCGGTAGTTCCTGCTGCCACCGTTGCGTCACCACCTGTAGAAGCCACGACGAGGGTGCCAACACCACCAACCACCATCGTTTCTCCAGCGACACCCATAGCTATGGCCGCTAGGGAGATTGTCTCAAAGCCAATCACGCCCCCAGCAGTTGTTGCAGACAAATCCAGCAAAGGGACTGGCTCTAGACCGACCCCAGCTCCACGGAGACCCTCCATCGTGTTTGAAATTTGGTTGAACCAGACTAACCAAGTCGAATTGGTTTTGGGTTGGACCGACCAACCAGTTTGGTATTAGACCGACCGAACATATATTCTAATTCCATGAAGGGACACATCCCTTTGGCCTAGTGGCGGTTGCATTATTTTATGGATAAAGATAACCTTTCATATGGATAGAGACAACCTTTCATATGGATAAAGGCAACCTTTCGTATGGATAAAGGCAACCTTTCATGAAACAATATGCATGGATTCGACCCCTATAAATATGTGTGGGGTGGATGATGCCACACACCATCAAACATATTCTTCTTCTTTCTTCCAAAAAATTCTAAGTATGCTTTAGTGTTCTTGAGCCTAAAACCTAAAGTGGTGATAGTTTTATCCTCGGGAGAAATTTCCTGTAACCCAAGGCTTTGTAGAGGGTGGAAATATTCTTTTCGGAAATTGAACGTTGTTCACGACTCTATCACAATCATGGTCACCCGGTCTCGGGCTATCGTACGTGTACCCTCGTCCCTAAATTTTCCTAACAATCGAAAATAATATTTTTCGGTATGATGGCTCGAACCGCTCTTTGCAAGAAACCGGTTCCGGTCTATGGAATTATGAGAATGTTCGATGATGAGTTTTTCATCGATGATAATAGAAGATGGATTTTCTTCATACTAGTCTCATGGTGTATTCCATATTCGGACGGTAACTTGGAAGAGGGATGATTCCAAGATGAGGAAGAAAGAGAAGGCTGCGTAAAATGGAGAAATAGAAGAATGACAATTGCCTTTGTGTATGTCTCATACTCAATGGTTAATTTGTCTAATTCTCTATTTGACGTTTTTGAAGTTCTAGAAAATTTTGGATTTGTCTAGTGGTTTGGTGGTGCGATTTTGTCTAGGGGTTTATGTTATTTAAACCAAGGAGACAAAATGTATATAATATTTATGATGATTCTGGTAATGGAATCATCGTACATTTGTATGTATATGACATGCTTATCTTTGGAACCAATAAAAGATAAGTGAACTTTGATAAAAAGTTTTTATTTCAATTCTCCATGTAGGACATGTGGGAGGCAAATGTGATCCTGTGTATTGAATCAAGCGGAACGACAAGAATGAGTCATTCTCTCATTTTTTCTGCATGAGAAGGTACTTTGCATAAATTCCATAGTAGGAATTGTAGTGAGTTAAAGACCCCAATGGATCCAAGTATGGAAATTATGGTTAATAATGGAAATAAGTTTTGCAATCGGAGTATTCCATGTTAAATTGAGGGCTCGATGTATGCATGACTTGCATGATGCTAGATATCGCATATGCGATAGAAGAATTAAGTCGGTACATGATGAATCATAGTGCTCATCATTTGAAATGAAGTGAGGCGTGTACTAAGATATCTCAAAGGCACATTGTATTGAGTTATAGTGGCTTTCCATCCATTTTTGGAAGGATTTGTTGATGTTAGTTGGATTTCTCATGTTAAAGGTGATACTTCAAGATTAAGATGGGTCCTCTTGCTTGGGGGAGGTGCCATATTTTTGGGCCTCTAGAAAGCAAACTTGCATCACTAGTTCCACTATGGAGGTAAAGTTTGTGGCCTTGATTTCTCTTAGAGAAAAGACATTATTGCTGAGATGCTTGGTTTATGACATTAATTTATGGCCAAACCAATCTCGCCTATTACTATTCTCAGTGATAGTAATGCTACTTTGGCTAAGGCATATAACCAAGTGAAAATGACAAGTACGGTCATGTGGGAGTAAGGCACAATAAAATATGTGAACTGATCATTCATAGAGTTGTGTCTAGACAATATGACCAGACTCGAAATAATTTGGTTGGTTATTTGACGAAGTGGTTAACTAGTGACTTGGTGGTCAAGTCTGTGAAAGGGATGGGTTAAAAGTCCATACAATTTCTGGTAATGGGACACCCAATTCCCCTCCAATACAACGCTAGAGGCTGAATTCAATGTGGAAATCTTATTATCAGAAATTGAAGCACACAATTTGTCATCCCGAGGTATGTGCTTGTTATCCTGCATGAGAGAAGAGGATGAAGTTCAAACTTCTTAATTGAATCTTTGAAAAAGGGTATTATGCGGGTACATGAATAAGAGATTCGACCTACGTAAGCATGAACTGTAGCCGCTTCAAGAAACCCGGACTTTGGTTTCGTGTGCGCTTATGAGCAGGATTGGACACATGGCAGATAATAGTGTCAAGGCGCTTAGAAGTTTTGAAAAATTAAGTGTATATTATCTTCGAATATTCATATGAGTCAATGGGTTCAATTGTTACCGACACCCTTTGTATTCGAGTATTCGTCAAGTGTAATATACTAAGGTGAAAATTCAATCGTCACGACATTTTCATTTATGCTTAAGTTTTCTTGGAAGAATGTTGTGATTTTAGCGAATTCTATGAATACACTAAAATGGGGGAGGAATGTTGGAAATTTGGTTGAACTAGACTAACCAAGTCAAATTGGTTTTGGGTTGGACCGACCAACTAGTTTGGTATTAGACCGACCGAACCGATATTCTAATTCCATGAAGGGACACATCCCTTTGGCCTAGTGGCGGTTGCATTATTTTATGGATAAAGATAACCTTTCATATGGATAGAGACAACCTTTCATATGGATAAATGCAACCTTTCGTATGGACAAAGGCAACCTTTCATGAAACAATGCATGGATTCGGCCCCTATAGTTATGTGTGAGGTGGATGATGCCACACACCATCAAACATATTCTTCTTCTTTCTTCCAAAAAGTTCTAAGTATGCTTTAGTGTTCTTGAGCCTAGAACCTAAAGTGGTGATAGTTTTATCCTCGGGAGAAATTTTCTGTAACCCAAGGCTTTGTAGAGGTGGAAATATTCTTTTTGGAAAGTGAACGTTGTTCACGACTCTATCACAATCCTGGTCACCCGGTCTCGGGCTATCGTACATGTAACCTCGTCCCTAAATAGTCCCAACACATCGCCGGTTGGAAGTTGAAGTAAAAGAGACCTAGGTCGAGGGAAGTCTCGGGGAATCCGATGCCAGGTGAAAGCTTGGTCATCGCAAAGGGCGGTGAGGAAAGAAAGTCGTCGGGGCCTTGCGAGGAATCGGCCAAGGACGCAGAAATTGCTGGGGAATCCCCTCCGACACGGGATTGCTCGCCTCTAGAGAAAAAGACGAAAGAGGAAAGTGGAGGCGACAATTCTTCCTTCCTCGCGTCGGTGGACAAGCCGGTGCGGCTCGAGACGAGAGTCATGGACTCAGAATCGCCATCCCTTCGCCTGGTGGGTGGTTCGCTGCCGGAAATTAAGGAGCATTTGAAGTCGACGGCGGGAATCGAGCAGTCCCCACAATCTGTTCTATTCGTGGCGACGAGGGACAAGAAGCAGGCTGCCGGATTGACTCGTGGCATCCGCGAATCGCGCCAGTAAAGCAGCGAACGACGGCAGCGTACATTGTACCATCGATTGGCGAGGACACGCCGTCGAAAAAAACGCAGGGCGTAAGCGTAACTCCTAGCCGGGAAATCGGTTCGCCGTCGAGGAAGCCGAAGAAGAGGTCACCAAAGGAGGAGGGCAATGACCGAAGCCGCAAAGCAGAGCTGGATCGTCGTGGTGTCCGCCGTTCGATGAGGAACTCGCCGAAGAAAGTGAAGAAGAGTTCGCCGCCGTGGAAGAAGAAAACGTCGGAGGAGGGCTGGCCAACCCGCCGTCCGGAGGACTACTCGACGCCGGAGAACGAGATGAAGAGGTCACCATCAGGGCTGAGAATGGCTGTGAAGCCTGGGCCACTACATGGGCAAAAGAAGTTGCCTGAGGAAGCCGAGGAGAAGATGGGTTCATCGGGTGGAAGAACGATGAAGGAGGGTGGTAGGAACTATTGCGTACGCGAGTTCCCACTTCCAACGAACCCTAGGTAGCCCGCGTGGACCGCACGACAGCAGCTGGCCAGCCCGTTGTGCCGGGTGACTTTGGTTGCTTTGCCGGTTGGGGCAGGCCGACTGGAAAAGGAGGAGGAGGTGGGGTGGTCACACCAGTGGAATGGGCGGAAGAGGAATCAGGCCAAGTTAGGATCAGACTATAGGCCGAGAATTGAGGAGAAGCGGGCTGAGAAAGAGTTTGTTCGTGGGCTGAGTCTTATGAAACGAATTGGGTTAAAGATGGGCTGCTCTTTGAAGAAAATGGACTTGAGTGAAGAGAATGGTGAGTTTAATGGGTTGGCAGGTGGGCTTTTAAGAGAACAGATCCCAAAAGCAATTAGAGAGACACCAAAGCAAGTTTATGGGCTTTCTTCAATAAAACTTTTTGAAGGCCTTAATGAGTTGGTACTTAATGATAAGTTTTTGTACCAAAAAACATCTCTGGATTTCTTAGACTCATGGAGTGTGATGTAAATGGAAGAGGAGTTATCATCAATGAGATTTCTTGAGGAAGGAAGGATTGGGGCCTCTATCGTGGCATCAACAAATTTGTTTGAACTCAACGCAAGAAGCCCAAGTCAAGTAGTGGAGCATGATTGGAAGAAAAGGAATCGCGAGGAGTGGAGAAGACAAGGCGCGGTCTACACGGAAGATAGGGTGAAGAAATGGATCAAGTCGGCCAACCTTGAGGGCAAGGTTGGTCTCAAGGGGGAGGGGATGATAGAAACCCAATTTCCTGGTTATATCATAATTATCATTAATAGTATTTATTAGGATATTATTAGATATGGCTAGTAGTCTTTGAGTCATATTAGGATAGTCTATTAGGTTTTTCCCGTCTTTCGTTATAAATATGTAATTTGGGGTCTTCTGTACGGGAGGCAGAAATCAGTAAAAGAATTATCTTCCCAAACCCTAAACTCTCCCTATCTCCTAATTTCTCTTCTTGCCTAGTCCAAGGCTTCGGCTGATTCTTTATTCTGTTCTTCCTCTCCTAATCTCAATCTCAATCCCTAATTTTGTTTGTATAAACCCTAATCCCCAAATATCTAATCTGATAGAACCTTGTTTCTATCACCCGAGAAGATCCTACAAACTGTGAACAAACAAAACTTAGTGAGGCAAACAGCCAAACAAGCTTATCCCCTATATCAAATACGACTTGTCTTGGGAAGCTAACCCCTATCATGTCTTCATGAAGGAGTCGTTCAAGATCCATTAGAAGTTCATTTATTCGTACGTACCAAAGGGATAGACGAGACTTTGCTTTGAGAGCCAGTCTACGACTCTATTCCCTTCCCAGTACGTATGGACAAAATGAACTATCCAATTCTGAGCTATCTGTCTGTGGATCATACTTAAAAGAGTTGCATGAGGGTGTACCGAATCCATTCTATTGTTGATCAGCTCCATGGCTAACTTGGATTCTGTTTCCACGATCAGGCATAAGATGTTCTTCTTCCAAGCTAGCTCCAAACCTTTATGAATGTCCTAGAGTTCTGCAAGAATAGCTGACCCGATGCCAATATTTCATCAGAATCCGCCCATCCATTCACCATCCTTGTCCCTGATACATCCGCCTGCTGCCATGCTACCTAGAGTTCCTTGGGTTGCTCCATCTGTGTTAAGTTTAAACCACCCAGCCGGGAGAGGATGCCAGCCTATAAACCTTTCTTCTCGTTCTGGTCTTGTCAAGGAGTTGAGCCTAGCAGCTGCTGATAGCAAAGTTTTTGCCTAGTATTTCGCCTTTGAAATTATGTATTTGGTCAAGGTGGGTCTTGATATCCTTGCCGATTTGAAGACGAAGTCATTTCGATGCTTCCATATGTACCAACAAATCAAGGCGAAGAAATTACTCCAGCCGCCTGCTTCTTCTGTTTCATCTTCCATTTCCAGGTTCAGTTTAAGCCAGGAGTCATTACCTGCAGCAAAAAATTATATTGGAGTTGCTGAGGGGCTACCTTCTCCCAGACTTGCTTAATTGTCATGCAATCTCTTAAGCAATGCATATTGGTCTCAATCTCTGTTTCACAAAGAGGACATTTTTCGTTGGAGATAAGATGTCTATATTTCCTGATGTTGTTGGTCGTTAACCTCCCCTTAGCACCAGTCCAAATGAACAAACACACTCTCTCTGGAACGTGCAACTGCCAAATTTTATGCTAGGGAGTCAGGTTCGTGTTGGTAGCTTGTGGGGCTACTAGCGTGTAGGCCGAAGTAGTGCTGAACATGCCATTTGTCGTTGGTTTCCAGAACAACTGGTCCTCCTCAAGTGAAAGCGGATCTAGCAGAAAAGCTCTCAGCTTCCCCAACACATCCTGCGGCAAGTATGCAGTCAAATCTGCTATCATCCAACCTGTATTGTAATCCCAATAGTCAACAACTTTTTTCTTTGGGCCTCCAAGGGGACATTTGTTTTTTCCCTTTCTATTAACGATTCCTTCAAAAGCCAAGGATCCCACCAGAAGTTAGTCCTTTTACCATTCTTAACTCTTTGAGCTGCCCCTTCACTTATAAGTTGGGCAGTATGGCTGAAACGTTTCCAAGCATGTGACTTCCCTTTTTTCCATTAAGAATATGAATGCAATCCCTGCCACGCCCGTATTTGATTCTGAGTGTTCTTGTCCATAAGGTTTTGTCATCTGTTGCTAAACGCCAAACTCCTTTAGCCGACATTGCTTGGTTAGCCAGCCTAGTCGGCAGAATGCCAAGTTCTCCTTGAGTATGCGGAAGGACCACCTAATTCCAGGCCACAGTGTGCAGTTTAGCTTTGTTATCATCCTCTACCCAAATGAAAATTAAAGTAAGAGAGAGATTCGCTCTGTCCTCTTCCCGTTTGTGACCGTTGTCGATGGAGCCTCTACGAGAGGCGGCCCTCGATCCAAAATCGCCGGATAGATCGACGTTGTTCACCCCAATTCAACCGAGCAAGAAGGCAAAAGTGAGCTTCGTTGATGATTTCTCTGGTAAGAAAGACATGTATATTGTTGTGGTGATGGCGAGCGCGCATGACTACTTTTGGGATGGTCAAGTATCGAATGAGAAAGGCAGAACTGCTTCACCGGAATCATCTCCCTAAACTTGGGCAGGTAAGATCTGTTATAAGGACTCTTTCTTGGGCAATGCCCCCTATTGAGATATCTGAAGGTGAAAAATTAAGGAAAAAATCCCAAAGCACACATGTTCTTAAAAAAAATTCCCAAAATACATAAGTTATAAAAAAAATTCCCACAATACACATGTTTGGCATTCACCGTTTTTGAAAAACGCAGTGAATATAATCACCGTGTTTGACAAACGCGGTGAATAATTCACCGTTTAAAAAAAAACGGTGACGTATTCGCCGTCTTCATCTAAAACGGTGAACAACCAGCGAGGCAATCACCATTTTAGACGGAAACGGTGAATCAATCACTGTTTTAATTAAAAGCGGTGACATTTAAACCGTTGTGATTGGCCACGATGAAGCGAAGAGGATCGCTGACGTGGACAAACGCGGTGTATTCACTGCGTTAAACAAACACGGTGAATACCCCGTGTTTGTTTGCGTCAGCGATCCGCGTCGCTGCCGCATTCACCGTGGTCGTCGGATGCGGTGAGGCGCGGATCGTGGTTTTCTTCCCAGATCCGACGCCTCACGCTAAGCCACGTTACTCGATCCGCGCCCATTCACCGTCCTCGAGAAACGCGGTCACTTCACCGTTTCTGACTGAGGCGGTGAATGCTCCCCAGTTTCATTCGGCAGATCCCTTCCCCCAACTATAAATAGACCCTCCCTCCCCCCCCCCCCCCACTTACAACTCATACCACAACCATTTCACTTCTTTCTCCCTCAATTTATCCGCTCTAGTCTCGTTCTAAGTATGCTCTGTGGTTGCGGATAAATCCGATCTTCCACATCAGGAAGAATTACTAGAGTTTGACCCTAAAGCCCCCGTCCCGTCCCGCTAAGTGCTGGAGGGCTGGTATTTATACTAAAATATGCCTAATGTTCACCGTTTTGGTCAAACACGGTGAACACCATCACCGCGTTTGTCTCAAACGGTGAACATTAGGTAGCTCATACCTAATTTTCACCTAACAGGGGTTGAAAACGTGCCTAATGTTCACCGTTTTAACCTAGAACGGTGATATATTCACCGTTTAGGCTTAAACGGTGAATTATTCACCGTGCTTGTCAAACGCGGTGATAGCCTTCACTGCGTTTATCAAAAACGGTGAATACCAAACATGTGTAGTTTTGGAATTTTTTTTATAACTTATGTATTTTGGGAATTTTTTTTAAGAACATGTGTACTTTGGGATTTTTTCCAAAAATTAATGTCCAATGAATAGGATAAGGAAAATGGAGATGATGACATTGATTGCCCTACAATCAGAATTAAGAAATGAAATAGCGCAAGGATTGGTAACTTATGGCGTCGAGCCATTTCCTTCCATGTTCACGAGAAATTCTTATCCTTCAATTATATTCACAGAAGAATCCAGAAGATGTTGGCTAAAACTGGAGGGATTAGGGTTGGTGACATCGATAATGGCTACTTCCAAGCAACCTTTGACTCCCAACTCGATCATGACCAGGCTCTCTATGGAGGACCATGGACGATTGAGGAACATTACATTGCAGCTGAACCCTGGAGAATTGACTTTCATCCGAACTTCGACACCATTGATAGAGCTTTGGTCTGCGTTAGGTTGCCTCGTCTCCCTTTAGCCTATTTCGATGAAGAGATACTAAAAGATATTGGAGATAAGCTAGGGAGAGTTGAGAAGATTGATTCTAACACGGCGAACGGCTTCAGAGGTAGCTACGCCCACATCTACGTGGAGATTGATCTCAGGAAGAGACTCATCTCTAATTACAGGATTAAGAGACGGGTTAGAAGAATGGAATACGAAGAATTACACACCGTTTTCTTTCTGTGTGGCCATTATGGCCACCTCGAGGAGAACTTCACCCTTGGCTTGACTTCAAGCCAATTGACATGGGAGGAAAAGCCAAAAACTAAACAGGAAAGCAGAATGGAGATTTTGGAGGATTTTGGCCCCTGGATGTTGGCTACACGACCTAAAAGGAAGACACATCAACGAAAAGTGCAGAAGGAAGGAGTTGAAGAGAATAGCAAGGGAAGTTTGGGGGCATGTCTACGGAGTTGGGGTCAAGGTTTGAAGCTCTTGTCTTGGAGGATACCTTTGACAATGACAAAGAAGAGAGGATTGAAGAGGAAGCTCACATGGAGATGGTGCTTGATGAATCAGGGGAGATGATGAAAAAAGTTTAAGCAATTCCAGAAAAGAATCCTCAAGAAACTACAAAGGAGGGGGGAAAGAAAGGAAAGAAACAAGCAGAAAGTAAACAACCAAAGTGTCAAAAGGAGAATCTTCTGATGCCTAACCAAATGAATAAGAAAGATCCCCAGAAACCGCCATCTGCAAGCTCTAAGCAAGCCAAACTAAATGAATCCAAAGGGAAGACCACTTCTGCCTCGACAAAAAACACTTCTACTTCCAACCCTCTTACTAAGGGCCCTGCACTTAAGCAAGGGGGTCTTTGTAGGCCCCAAGGAGGTAGCAGCTCGTTTCTCAGCTCACCGAAGCCTTCCAAACAACTGAAGGAAGGTGGTGTTGATGGGAAGAAGAAAGCTATACAATCTTCATTTCCCAAGGCAGGTTCCAACCCTGGTACCAACCCCTCGGTTAAAGAGAAACCCTCCTGATTTATTGGATCCAAAGGAGTTGGATTTTGAACCTTGTTTGAGGAGGGGAAGTCTGAGCCAGGAAGTGCTCATTTGCTCACATTTGAGACTGATCCAGCCAATGGAGCATTCACGGATGAGACAACGATGGCCTTCGATGCTATTTGAAGAACTTGACCTTAGGGTCTGTTTGGGACTACTTTTCTACCATGATTAGTGTCTTCTCTTGGAACTGCATGGGTTCAAAACACCCTAATTTCCATTCGACTTTTGAGTTTTACAAAGTGGAACATTCACCTAAGGTGATCTGTATATTGGAGCCTCGTATCAGTGGCAAGAAGGCCGAGGAGGTGATTAACTCCCTTGGTTTCGATTCGTATGATGTCTCTGACGCAGTGGGATTCAAAAGTTGTATTTGGGTGCTTTGGGATAGCAACTCTATCCAGCTGCACCTCCAGGATAAGAGCAACCAATTCATTCATATGTTCGTTTCTAGTGTTGGTAGAGAGATTGGGTATATTACTGCAGTCTACGCCAGCCCGAATGACCACAAGAGAAGTGGCCTTTGGAACTCAATCAGAAGTATTGCTAGAAGTATGGATAAGCCATGGATGCTCCTTGGCAATTTCAACTCAATCACTTGCCACCTCAGAGAAGCAAGGTGGATGATGACTCGGTATTTGCACATGTTTTCCCCTTTGTTTCTTGATTGTTTGAGCTTGAATTATCGTGTCTTTGGCCTATTTTACGCTAGGTTGTGTTCCTTTATCACATTTCAGGTCCTAGCACATAAAGTGAAGCATAGGCGCAAGTTTCAAGTCAATTAGAGATCAATTGACGATTCGGGAGAAGAAACTCGTGCATGACCTGAAGAAGAATGGATTTCTACCTCAATTTATGGACAAAGAATCATGCAAGCTTGTTATGAAACGAAAGAGAGCGAGACTACGAGCGTCTGGGATCAAACGGCGATTGATTCGGAGTCCGGACGAGGGAGAAACGAAGCATTAAACAGAGGCTGAGCAAGCCACACGGGCAGAGCAGAAAATCCACACGACCGTGCAAGGTGAGCTGCACGGCCGTGCGGCCTGCCCGTGTAAGAAGCCTGGAATTCAACTAATCGATACGCTGTGTTTTGACTCGCACGGGAAACTGGGTGAGCTGCACGACCGTGCGGCCTGCCCGTGTGAGTCGGGAATTGCTGTTTAAAACCCGAATTTCAGCCAAAGGAAAGGGGGGAGCTGGGTTTTGGATCCCAAACACCCAAGGGACGAACCAAAGAGAGAGAGGGCGATCTGAGGGCATTCTAAGAGTGGAATTGGAGGATTTCTTTGCCTTGGAAGCTCGAGGAACAAGCCCGGACTTGAAGACTGATCATCTGAAGATTCTTACTGCAGTCTCTCTCTTCTCTATGGAGTAACTTCCCTTCACTTAGGTTTTGAGGAACCCTAGCTATGTTTGTTTGATTGGATGATTGTATGAGTACTCTGACTTGATAATCTTGAGTTCATATTCAATCTATGCATGTTTTCATGATTCAATTATGCTTTAGTCGAGATTATTGATTCTGCTTTGATCCTATGAGAGGGAATACCTGATTAGGTCAATAGAGCACCATAGATTGATAGTAGTGGATCGATTGCTTTAGTCGAGGGTTGATTCACTGCTTTGTATCGATTGAGAACCTCTTTCGATAGAGGGAGTCTAGTTCAGAACGCCTTGATCAGTTGTTCTAGAGAAGGATACGTCCCTCTAGGCAATTGACTCAAGAGGCCTTGTTCCTTTAGTCGAGACTCAAGGTCTAATCAAGGATTCTCCGCATTGTGAATGAAAGTGAAACAAGTTAGAAATCATCAATCATTAGTCTGGCTAGTGGCTAGGGGGAATCATACCTAAGTGAGTTCCCAACCTGTAATTAGATTAACTTTAACTGTAGTTTGCTAGAGTAGTTTTAGTTCTTTCATCTTAATCTGGTTTGCTAAATAATAAACTGAAGCTGAGTAATAGTAACTCTAGAGACCCGTGGATTCGATATTTATCACTTGAGCCACTATACTACAATCCCTTCCATTGGTTACACTTGGCCATTGTTAGGTGTTGTGTCATAGCGAGTCAAGTTTTTGGTGCCGTTGCCGGGGACTTTCTAGAGTATTAGGAAAGGCAGAAGTTTGTTACTTTAGCGTTTTTCTTTTCTTTTCTTTTCCACCCTTGCTTTTCACTTGGGTGTTTTTGTTTTTGTTGGTGCAGATCTGAATCATGGATCCTCATGGCTTCTCCAACAATTGGGGGTATCCACCACCACCCGAGTGGTATTACCCCGAGACTCCCTGGAGCAATCAAGGAGGAGAAGACTATGGATTCGGGTTCCAGTACCAACCCTCTTACTACGGAGAACAACCGGACCTCTGGGCATATCAAGAACAACCTCATTACCAAGAAGAATTTCTCCCACAACCAGAAGGGCCATCGGCGCTGGAGTTACCCATGGCGGCCTTCACGGGCCATTCTGCAGAGCCATGCTACACTCCACAGCCAGATCCACACTACGAATTGAGGCTTCTCATAGAGAGATCATGCTCCAGGATCGATCATTGTGTCCAGGCCTTTCGTGAAACAGAGGAGATCCTCCTGAGCCTTAAGAAGAGTGTCGATGATCTTGAGCGATCTTTGGCACAACCTGCTCCAGATCACCCTTCTGCTACCATACAAGAAGAGGAGGAGGAAGAAGAAGGCTACAAGGACATTGTAGAGCACACTGAAGTTGTCTCGGAGTGCTCCCGTGATGATCATGATAAGGAGTGTCATGTCGTAGCCGACCACACCTTCCCACACCCCAAACTGAGCTTTGAAGAGGCGGGCATGAGTGAGGAGATGCAAGAAGATCTCATGAAAGAAATTGCTTGGCAACTTGCTCTCCAATCCGTGCTAGAAGAAGAAGAGCAAGAAAGGGTGCAGAAAGAAGTTGTGGAGGATGACGAAAGTGAAGCAAGAGGAGTTCTTGATCATTTCCCAGGGGTGATACCACATGAAGAAGGAAGGGAGGTTGAAGAAGAAATTGGCGTCCAGGCTGAGGACGGAGTTAAGGTGGAAGAGGCCTGCACCGGCCATGAGTTACATGTGATATCTCCACCAAACTTCGAGGAACTGCTTAGCAAGGACCCATTTGCAGAGTCTCTTTGCCAGACCAAGGCCACATCGACATCGGTCCCTCTTGGTGGACGCGATGGTGGGCAATCGATGCTGTCATATCTGGTTTGGGGCAATGAGACGAGAGAAGAGAAGAAGAGGTCTCGAGGGTGGAGACTTCATCTGCATCAAGTACATGAGCCTTCATCACCTGCCACACCACATGCTCGTGACTTGAGACTCCACCTCATCGACGAGAACCTCAACTTCAAGGAGGTTCTAGCATGGTCCGAAACTTAGGAGCCATCGTCCAGCTCACGACGTGAAAGAAGCGCTTGTTGGGAGGCAACCCAACCAGTCGTTTTGCATTTCTTTCTCTACTTCTCCTCGGTTGAGTCAGTTTTGTTATTTGATTTTAGAGTCAATAACTCAACCTTTGTGAGATTTTGTGTGGTGTTTGTGTTCTGATTACTCTCTCTTCCTGGAATGCACTGCCTGACCCGTACATCATCATTCACCCTTGATCTGGTAACTTCATTCTACCCTCCTTATCTTTCCTCCATTGAGGACAATGTCGTGCTTAAGTGTGGGGGGGGGGGGGTGTTCGATTATGTATGCGGGTGAATGTTTGGCTGTTTATGTGCTTGGAGCCTAGTCCACTGTCCAAATTTTTAAATTTGAGGGCTCCAAGTACGTGTTTCCTTGCAAATTGCCTGCTCAGTATGCTTTGAATTGACAGTCTCTATAGTAATGTGCAACCTAGGGAGGTAGTGTAGCACTATGGAGGATGTTGAAGTATAAGATTTTTCCTATCTAGCTCTCTGCTGTGCCAGTTGATTTTGTGAATTAGTGGAGCTAAGACCGTTGAATTTAAGTGGTAATGTGGACTCTGTTTGAATTGTGTTATGGACTCGTGTATTGAACAGGTTGCTCATATGGAAAATGGGAAGCAGTTGGTCCTCCATGTTGAAATCATTGAAATCTTAAACATGGGGTAAGCCCAACGTGTGTGGCACCGTTCATTGCACAAAATCGGGTTTTGGAAGAGATTTTAGTGATCCTTAGTGGGGTACTCCTACAAGGTGAAGCTAAGTTGTCTCTAGTACAAGTAAACTTCCACCCGTTGAACGGTTTGCCTACTTGAGGATGTGTTTTTAAGGGCACAGATAGAGCTTCCGACCCCCCTTAATTTCATTGACCCTCCACACGAGTTGAGGAAAAGGAGTTAAAAGAAGTACTCTGGCGAGCTCCAGATGTACAGAAATTTCTCTTGCTCGACTAATAAGGGTCGACCGTGTAAAAGACTGCAGTTGGAACCCCACCAAATGAAAGAAAAAATGTAAATGAAAGTGAGAAAAAGGGGGTTCCAACGGTGAAATGAAGTGAAAGAGCACCCCGGTACAACGAATCCTTGGTTGTGAATGGTGTGAGTCCCTTTATCCATGAACTGAGTGTCTTACTTCTACTTTTTCTCATGATCCTGGCTTGAGTCTAGTACTCGCATTGAGAGAGATATGGAACGTCTTAGAAGACCAGTTGACCTCGTAAGCTGCTATATGATCTAGGAAATCCTCTACCGACGATCGGGGTTGTATGTTGCTATAGAGCTCTGGAGAGAAGCATTGGTTTGAGTTAGGTTTGCTTGGGGACAAGCAAACAGTTAAGTGTGGGGGGATTTGATGACTCGGTATTTGCACATGTTTTCCCCTTTGTTTCTTGATTGTTTGAGCTTGAATTATCGTGTTTTTGGCCTATTTTACGCTAGGTTGTGTTCCTTTGTCACATTTCAGGTCCTAGCACATAAAGTGAAGCATAGGCGCAAGTTTCAAGTCAATCAGAGATCAATTGACGATTCGGGAGAAGAAAATCGTGCATGGCCTGAAGAAGAATGGATTTCTACCTCACTTTATGGACAAAGAATCATGCAAGCTTGTTATGAAACGAAAGAGGGCGAGACTACGAGCGTCTGGGATCAAACGGCGACTGATTCGGAGTCCAGACGAGGGAGAAACGAAGCATTAAACAGAGGCTAAGCAAGCCACACGGGCAGAGCAGAAAATCCACACGGCCGTGCAAGGTGAGCTGCACGGCCGTGCGGCCTGCCCGTGTAAGAAGACTGGAATTCAACTAATCGATACGCTGCGTTTTGACTCGCACGGGCAATTGGGTGAGCTGCACGGCCGTGCTGCCTGCCCGTGTGAGTCGGGAATTGCTGTTTAAAACCCGATTTTCAGCCAAAGGAAAGGGGAGAGCTGGGTTTTGGATCCCAAACACCCAAGGGACGAACCAAAGAGAGAGAGGGCGATCTGAGGGCATTCTAAGAGTGGAATTGGAGGATTTCTTCGCCTTGGAAGCTCGAGGAACAAGCCCGGACTTGAAGACTGATCATCTGAAGATTCTTACTGCAGTCTCTTTCTTCTCTATGGAGTAACTTCCCTTCACTTAGGTTTTGAGGAACCCTAGCTATGTTTGTTTGATTGGATGATTGTATGAGTACTCTGACTTGATAATCTTGAGTTCATATTCAATCTATGCATGTTTTCATGATTCAATTCTGCTTTAGTCGAGATTATTGATTCTGCTTTGATCCTATGAGAGGGAATATCTGATTAGGTCAATAGAGCACCATAGATTGATAGTAGTGGATTGATTGCTTTAGTCGAGGGTTGATTCACTACTTTGTATCGATTGAGAACCTCTTTCGATAGAGGGAGTCTAGTTTAGAACGCCTTGATCAGTTGTTCTAGAGAAGGATATGTCCCTCTAGGCAATTGACTCAAGAGGGCCTTGTTCCTTTAGTCGAGACTCAAGGTCTAGTCAAGGATTCTCCGCATTGTGAATGAAAGTGAAACAAGTTAGAAATCATCAATCGTTAGTCTGGCTAGTGGCTAGGGGGAATCATACCTAAGTGAGTTCCCAACCTGTAATTAGACTAACTTTGACTGTAGTTTGCTAGAGTAGTTTTAGTTCTTTCATCTTAATCTGGTTTGCTAAATAATAAACTGAAGCTGAGTAATAGTAACTCTAGAGACCCGTGGATTCGATATTTATCACTTGAGCCACTATACTGCAGTCCCTTTCATTGGTTACACTTGGCCTTTGTTAGGTGTTGTGTCATAGCGAGTCAGTGGAGCAACCTTTAACCCTGCAAGGGTGACAGCTTTTAATGATTGCATTAGGGATTGTGAATTGGCGGATATTGGTGTCATCAGACCAAAATTTACCTGGTCAACAACCTCTGGGCTTAAAGAACAACTAGATAGATGTATCTACAATGTGAAATGGATTCACAAGTTCCCGGTCACTGTGAACTTTCACCCTACCAAGATCAAGACAGATCATCGGCCTATTCTTGTTTGCAATGGCAGATCCCAGCAGAAGACCCGTTTGGTGAGGAGATTTTATTTCCTCTCCCCCTAGCTGGCACATGATGATTTTCATAATGTTGTTTCCTCTACTTGGAACTACGGATCTAGTTTCTTGCCTTGTTTGCAGGTACTAACTGAGAGGATCCAATAATGGAACAAGAAGACCTTTGGTAACATTTTCATCGGGAAAATAAAGATCGTGGATAGACTTTGCAAGCCGGGGCAATTTAACAAAAGAACTCCGTCCCATCATTCTCGCCACCAAGAGAGAGCTACTAGGAAGAGCTGGAGCACACTTTGTGGCAAGAGGAGCTTAAATGGTGACAAAAATCATGGGCAAACTGGGTACTGTTTGGCGACATTAACACTAGGTTCTTCCATACAAGCACACTTACAAGGAGGAGGAGAAACAAAATCACTAAGTTGAAAAATGATGAAGGTTGTTGGGTTACTGATCCGGACGAGCTCATGTCCCTCTCAAGAGAGTTCTACATTAAGATTTTCAAAAAGGAGGAAAGGGAGTCCAGGATTATCTTTGCTACTGATTTTCCTTTGGTTGAGGCTGGCAAGCTTGCTCAGGTGGGATCTCTTCCTCTGCCTGTTGAAATCAGAGACATTGTTATGAAGATGGTAGGAATGAAAGCCCCAAAACCTGACGATTAACATGCCATTTTCATTCAAAACTTGCGGGATGTTGTGGGGACTGAATTTTCTAACTTTTTTGTTTCCTGTTTCAGGTGTCCAGAGCGCATTAGAGCTATCATTTCTACAACCCTTGCATTGATTCCTAAAACAGACTCCCCCGTGTCTATGTCTCAATTCAGACCGATTAGTTTGTGTAATGTGGGGTATAAAGCAATTGCTAAATGCATCGCTAATAGATAGAAAAGTCTCATGCCTCACCTTATTCATCCTAATCAAACTGGTTTTGTACCAAATAGGCACATCAGTGACAATATATTGTATCAAACTAGTTTTATACCAAACTAGTTTTGCTCACCTCCCACCGGACTGCGTTCGTTTGATCATGGGATGTGCAACGACTATAGAGCTTCATGTCCTATGGAATGGAGGCTCTACAAATGGGTCCAAACCGAGTTACAGTCTTCGCCAGGGTTGTCCCTTATCTCCTTACCTTTTTACTATATGTATTGAACGACTCTGCCATTTCATTCGTAGGGAGGTTAGTGATAAGAATTGGAAACCGATATTTCTGTCTAGGGGGGGGGGGGGGGAGGGAGGGGGGGGGTCTGCCCTCTCGCACTTGTTTTTTGCTTGCCGACGCCTTGGTTTTGTTTAGTGAAGCTACCATCCCCCAAGCTGACCTGATTATGAAATGCCTTGATAATATTTTCTCTGCGTCGGGGGAGGCGATTAGCAAAGATAAGGTCTAGAGTCTTTTTCTCTAGGAATGTGTCTTGTAAGTGTCGTAAGGACATTTGTTCCAGGCTTGGAATGCAATATACTATGGACCTTGGTAAATATCTTGGTGTGTCGGTGTTACATGGTAGATTGACTCGAAACACTTATAAGTACATTCTTGAAAAAATGGACTCTAAATTGACAGTATGGAAAGCAAAAACCTTGTACCTTGCCGGCAAGGTTACTCTTGATATGTCTCTGCTCAATTATATCACTTCCTATGCCATGCATACCGCCCCCTCCCCCTTATTTGTGTGTGATGAGATTGATAGAAAATTAGGGGGTTTGTTTGGGGGTTCATTTTTGGGGGAACGAAAGACGTACCTCTTGTCTTGCGACACCATTTGTTAACCTAAAGATCAGGGTGGATTAGGTCTCAAAAATGCTAGAAGCCTTAACATGACTTACATGGTCAAAATTGCCTGACATATGCTTAACAACGATAATGACCTCTGGGTGCAAGTGTTGCAAGGGAAGTACTACTTCAATCATCGAGATGGACAAATCATCTATATGAAAAAGAGTAACTTCTCGAACCGTTGGAGGGCGATGGTAAAAGCTATGCCAGTTATGTAAAGTGCAACGGTTTGGAGTGTGAGGAATGGCAATACCACTGCCTTCTGGTCCCATCCTTGGATTGATTATGATTCTTTGATTTCTAACTATCTTCTTGCTGATGTTTCTTTGATTGATTTGAACTCCCCTTCTCTAGTTGGGTGACCACCTCGGGTGGGTGGGATTGTGAGAAGTTATCTAGATTGATTCACCCTGATGGGCTGTCTTTGATTGCAGGGATGGAGCCACCCAAACCTGATCTTAGCAAGGACACCTCCATTTGGGGAATCGAACAGGATGGACGCTTTAACTTCAAGTCTGCCTATTATCTGGTGAATGAAGACCATGAGGCTGAGGCGGACAACAGCTGAAAACTCTTCTGGAAATGGAGGGGTCCAAACCACATCAAGCTTTTCCTCTGGCTTGTCCGACATGAAAGGATGCTTACCAATGTGAAGAGAGCCAAGATGAAGCTTACTACCAACAACAACGGTGGTCACTATTTGGTGAATGAGAAGACCATAGAACATATACTCACAGCCTGTCCTAAAGCAGCTGAGATTTGGAGAAAGCTCAAAGATACCCATTTGAATGCAATTACTGACTCCCCTTTCCAATCATGGCTCTTCACTAACCTTATGAATGACAAGAAAGGAATCAGATTTGGGATTAATTGCAGGAATTTATGAAAATAGAGAAATGAGGAAGCAATTGAAGGGAAGAAGTTCTCCCAGGATGGCTTCCTCCATCGTGTGGAAGCTTGGATAAACATTGTTAATCAAGCCCATGTGAGCAAAAAGAAAAGCTCCCCTGGTGTTACACAGGACAGAATCACCAGAGATGTTGTGTGGAAGCCACCTCTAGAGGGATGGGTCCAGGTTCGAACCGATGGCTCTATTATGAAGGATTCTGGGAACGCGACTGCTGGGGGGATTGTTCGAAATCATTCGGGGAGATGCCTGAACTCTTTTGTCTGTAATATGGGTTCCTGCACGATCACAAATGCGGAACTAAAGGGGGCTGTTGAAGGCATATTGCTCGCATGGAGGTCTGGTTCAGGAAGATGCTGTTGAATATGGACTCATCCATTGCTATCTCAATCATCATGAACTGCAATGACATCAATCACCGCCACGACTTGCTTGCTCAAGACATTAGTCGATTACTGAATTTTGATTGGGAGTATAGAATCTCCCATGTGTTTAGGGAATGCTTTTGTTGTTGATTTCCTTGCTAGGAAGGTTCATGCTTTTCCTTTTGACACACATCCTTTCGATGAGTGTGACCCATAGTTTCAATATTGGTTGTTGTACGATATTATGGGGATTACCCAACCTCGTTCTTTCATTAATATGAGCTAAGACGCTTGAGTGTCTGTCTTTCCCATTCCAATTAATCCTCGTTTTCTTCCTCTCCACACAATACATGATTCTGCTGATGAAGGAGCTTGCCAAACCGATTTCCCCCAAGGTGTCACTGATTAAATCCCACCTCAACCTATCATAGGCTTTCTCTAAGTCGATCTTGATCACCAAACCTCCATTGCTTCCTTTTTGTTGAGAAGATAGTGAAGGTTTTCTTGTAGCGGGATGATATTATCATTAGTCTGCCTGCCTGCCTTTGATAAACCCACTCTAATTAGGAGCAATGAGTTTAGGCATAAGTGGCTTTAATCTGTTGGTGACCGGCTTAGTTACAGCTTTGAGAGCCACATTATTCAAGCAAATAGGTCTAAAATGTGCTTGGCATTCCGGCTGGTCAATATTGGGGATAAAAACTATCCTCGAGGCTTCTGTCATCTCTCCCATTTAAAAAAAATCAGATGTCATCCCAATGAGGCTTTTGCCCACTATCGTCCTAAGTTTCTGGTAGAAGATGGCTTGGTAGCCTTCAGGGCCAGGCGCAGAGTATGACTTCACCCCAAATATGGCTTTGTGAAAGTCAGCAATCTGAAAGGTCCATGAAGCATCATAATATCTTCTTGTCTCAGCTTAAGGAAGGAGTTTCGGGGAATGAGGTCTTCATAATGATTGTTGTCTTCTGTGTAAAGAATTGTGTAGAAGCTTAGCACCATTCGCAGGAGTTCCTGCTGATCCTCAACCCATTCCCCATTGGCAACTTGTAGAGTCGTAATTTGTTTCTCCTTTTACGCCTCATTGCTTGATGATGGAAATATGAGGTATTTTGTTTCCCATGTGTCACCCACTGTTATTTAGATCTTTGGAACCAGATTACCTCCTCTTGAGCAAGTACCTAATCCAATTCTCTTTCCAATTTGATTTGAAGCTTGAGCAGCCCCGTATTGAAAGAGTTGGCAATGTGAGTAGTAATGTCTTGGAGTTTGGCCATGAACCATCTTTTCTTTTTTGTGAATTGAGCCAAAAACATCCATGCTCCACCATTGAAGTTGAGGCGTGATCTCTCAAAGCGCTTGCTGCAGAGGAAGATTGTGTTTCCAAATATTTGTGACAAAATTCAGAAACCTGTCGTCCGTTGTCCAAATCGCCTCAAATTTGAAGTGATTAGAAGCAAAGGGATTAATTGGCGGTTGGTTCAGAACGGAGCTCAGAATTGGCACATGATCATGCTAAAACTTGGAGAGGTTTTTGACTGTGGTATTGGGGAACTTTAAATTCCAGGAAGCATTGCACAGAGAACGGTCAATCCGTCTGGCCTTCCTGGTATTGTGATTGTCCCCCCTGAACCAGGTAAACCTGGGGCCCTTGAATCCCAAATCAATCAATTCTGCTTCATTTATCCATTCACAAAATCATTGGCATCGACTTAGGGCTTCCCTAGAACACATTCCGAGCTTCTCCTCTAGGGTGGAAAAAGCATTAAAATCCCCTGTAACAAGCCAGGGGTTTCATCGGATCTACTGGTATGAGTGACTTGTTCCCACAGGAGAGGATGAAAGCGGTATTGAGGACTACCATAAACTCCCGTTAAGAGCCATTGTTGTCTAGTGAGGGCATCTATCTTGACCATAATATGCTGCGTGCTGGTATTGACAATATCGACTTTAAAATTGGAGCTCTTCACTACAACAAATTTGGCCTATTACGCCAAAAATATTATTTTGTCATTTGTGTTTTATAACACCCTACCCTGTACGTATTACCTAATCATATTGTTCATGCATTTGCAGCGGAAATAATCTTGGGTGTTACATTAATTACCATAATTTACCCAAATAAAATTTCGACATGAATTAATCACGTAATGGCTAACAGTTCTTGCAACTTATCTTGCAAAATAATTCATCACAAACATATATACTCACAACCATATGCATTGGCTTTTCTTAGCCATAGTCATAGTTTTCATACTCCACAACTGCATACCATACTTATACATACAATAATCGTCACAACTTACACAGTTACACACCATATACACATATCATCAACTTTCCACACCTGTGGATATCTCACACTACATCATAAGCTAGTATGCACATGAAAAACGTTCTCAAAACATTTTTTTACAAAAAAGGTGTGGATCACTGGCCAAAATTCCAAGTAGTCGTCCAAGCACAGAATAGTTGAAGACTATACCTCATCTTGGCTTCAACTTTAGCTCCTCTCCCACCTAACACTTATCTACGGCTGCTGCTGATGATCTGCTTACACATAGCATAAGCAGAGAAGAAGAATAAAAGAGGGTCAACTCATGGCTGAGTGAGACAATCATTGCATCGTGAGTTCAGAACAGAGCATACCCCTACCATACATCTAGCAAACAAGCCAAAGCACTAGGATCAGACCTCAGCCATCCGACATCCCAATAGGAAAAAGACTCACCCATCTTGACTTAGGCATATGCATCTTATCATGTTTTACTTATAGGCGCGTGGCTACTCCCATGCTAATAACTCTCCCGGGAAACATACCCCACATCCCGTCGGATGTAGTCATACATACCCCAACATCCTGTCGGATGTGGTCATACGGACCCCACACCACTATGGGTGTAGTCATACCCCAACACCCCTCTGGGTGTGGTCATATCCCGTAAGAATTCATTAGTCACCACCACATGAGAGGTGTGACTATCATACATATCATAATAGAGTAATAGCATAGGGGCCCTAATTACTATGTAGTTGAACGTGAGACCACAACACTCATATTTGGTATCCTTATACATGATTCATATCTCATCTTGCTTAATCATAATTCATTACTTGCACATGTACTTGACCTGGCCATAATTGGCTCAACATAGGTAATCAGGAGTCGTATAATTTCACTTCCTCGGGATAAACCCTCGTGCAAGTCATCCTCCTTAAACATCATAATATCAACCTGGGAAGTTTATTTCCACCACTTGTGAATCCAAAAACAACCACAATATCACATCATGTCAAAACACCTGATCGAACAACCATGAAGTCATATCAACGGTTAAGCCACAAATGGCAACATGTATGCAATCATCAACATAAACAAGGTCCATATCGGCTAGGGAAAGTAAATAATATCATACAACAATCCATGGTTCATCATATATAGCATAAAAGTCCATACACCCCTAATCATGCCATTCTAATTCACCTAGGTCAATTCTAAGCATCAATATAATTATCGTGATACGACTAACCCGGTATGCCGTGCTAATCCCTCACCAGTTCTGGTCGTTCAAACACCGGTTCTAGCCTCCCGTACCCCAACTCACTTTCTCAAACAAACCCAAAATCAAAATCCGAGATTGTCCTGATATCCCCTGCAGTATCCCCGTCAATGTTAGTTCTAGGCTCCGGGTGAAATTCTCGATAAAAACACATCAAACCCTACTCGGAGCTAAATTCAGCGATTTGGACCCCGACCTAACTAATTGCCGAAATTCATGGATTAGAACTAGAGGATTGATTACCTCGCCGCAAGAAGCTCATATACGAATTCTGGGCTCAATCCGGCTTCCGGATACTCCGAAACCCTAATGGGGAGAAAATGATTTGGGCACATTTTATATGTAATAAGCGCCCAACCGCTTTACTTTCCCTTTACTCGTCTCTTTGCGACACCTAGGCGGGTGTATGACTAACTAATATATATAATTATTAATACATATTACTATATTTATATATAGTAATTGATATTTATCCGATCGATCGATAATTTGATTTTCGTCGAAATGCTATCAAACCACTCGATTTTAAATCGTGAAATTTCTAGCGATCGAAATAAGGGTTTTGCCGAAACGGGATGTTACATGTTTTGTCACAATAGGTTATATAATATGAAAAAATGGTTTATGTCCTATTTGGTACGCCTAATGTGACAAAAATAGTTTTGTCAGAATATTTTGTCAGTTAAGGTGCTGAATGTGACAAAGATTGTGTGTCACAATATTTTTTTGTCGAAATAGGTAACCCTGATTCGGGTCTAAATGTACACTTTTGATCCCCATTTATCTTTGGTGTTTGTGGCATTTGAGCTCCAAAAGGTGTGTTTTTACGCTAGGTTTGTCGTGTTTCGGTGTGTTTCAGAATCTAACAGGTGGAACCAACCTCGAAGTCGATTGTTGGAAGAAATGGCGCGATGATCGGACCAAAGGAGGAAGTAGCCAAAGATCACGGTCCAGGAAGGAAGTTCACGGTCATCGGGACCGTGAACTAGCAGGGTTCAAGAGCGATTCTACAAGTTACTAGCATCAAGTCAGTTCACGGTCGCAAGACCGTGAACTGAAGCCATGGACCGTGAACCGGCTAAATGAAATGGCGCGAATTGGTTCGAAATGTCTTAGCCATTACTTCACGACCATGCACTGAGACCCTGAACTGGGCGTGAACTATGTATAAAAGGATAGCTGAAAGGAAGAAGAGAGGAGAGCCTAAAAGGGAGAGACACCTTCTTCTTCTTCTTCTTCTTCTTCTTCTTCTTCTTCTTCTTCTTCTTCTTCTTCTTCTTCTTCTTCTTCTTCTTCTTCTTCTTCTTCTTCAAGAATCTAGAGAGAAAAAGCCAGGGTTTGCTCGAAGTCAAGATTTGGGAAGTTCCTCCTTAAGAGAGGATCACTACAAACACAAGGGAGGATTGAGGCATCACAATGATGGTTTTTTCCCCTTTCTTTTGTGTTCTTCCTTCTTCTAGCATGGAGTAGTCTCCTGTTCACTTGGGTGTTGTAGAACCCTAATTTCTACCATGTAGTTAATTGTGTGGATTAAATGATTGTGTGTGGGTGGTGTTTAATTTGAGATTTGAGGTACTTTTCATGCTGATTGTGCATTGTGTGTGCTTGGTAATCTATTGTGCTATTCTAACTTAGCTTAGAGGGAAACCCCCTTATCTTAAGAGGCTCAAATTGAGTTGGGTTTTCTTGGGCATTCCATGCCTCCTATCTAGGTTAATGTAGGGAAAATCTCTAAACTCAAATTGAATACCGACACGCTAAAACACAACACCAAACTGCGACCAAGTGTAATCGCAGTCCGGAAATGTAGTAAAGTGGCAAGCTCTATTTGTCAACCCGGGGACTAGATCTACTGCCTACTCTGTGATTATCTATTATCTAGCAAACTAAGTTGAGTTATTGTGATTTTAACTAAAAGCAGTAAGAAAGCAAGAAATGGTTCAAAGTTCTTTAGCAAGGGAAGAGTCACTAGCTCCGTAGTTAGGTCCAGGTTGTAATTACCCTGGGTTGATTAACTATTGATTAAACTGCGGAAGATCCGACAGTAGCTTGGAATCTCTTAATCTGACCAAGCCCTCTCAGGCAGGCTAACCGGCAGGCGACTAACCTTCACCGGGATAGACTGCTGAGGCAATAAGCACAGAACTCCACTACTGGAATTAGATTCCAGCACAAAGCAGTAAATCGATTAACTCACGTATAACCAATCTACCACTACTGATTGATGAAGCTCTAACAACCTAATCAGATTCTATCTATCTCAGGTTGCAGCAGCAATCAAGAAAAGATGATCAGACTTCAATTGAATCAATGAATCATGCATCAATCGATTATAACCAATCAGTATAACAATCCCAAGTCATTACAATCAAGATCCCTAACGCATGGAACTAGGGTTCTTCATACCCAAGTGAGAGAAGGTTCTACTCCATAGGGAGAGAGGAAAACAGAAATCAGAGTAGTCATACTCATAAAGATGAGGAAAATATGCTCTGGGATGATGATCTTCACTCCTATGATGATCTCCAAGCTCTATTGATGAAACCCAGCTCCAAAATCACCTATAGGATGTGTTCTTCGCACTTTCTCTCTCTAGGGCTCTGTTTTTCGCTAAAAAACTCTATTCCCTCTCCTTTGGCTCGAAATTGGGTTGAAACCCAGAATTTCCCGATCACACGGCCGTGTGGCTTTCCAGTCTGCCCGTGTGGATGTGAAAACGGCGCGTTTTGATTAGTGGACTTTAGGCACGCTGCACGGCCAGAGGCACACGGCCGTGTGGATTTCCAGTCTGGGCGTGTGAGCTCCCTGGACTTTCCACACGGCCACAAGGGGTCCCATACACGGCCAGTGTGGCTTGGCCGCGTAATGGGATTCCACACGGCCACACCACACGACCGTGTGGCTGCTAGGTCTGGCCGTGTGGATTTCTCAGCTCCTCACCAGACGTCCAACTTTCGTCCAATCGACCCGAAACTCGCTCCCAAACCTCCAATCACGTACTAGGACGTGAAATAACGCAAACGAGAACAACCTAGCGTGAAATCGGCCTAAGATACGAGAAATGAGGCTCAAACGACATAAGAATGGTGGATAAACACATGTGTATATATCAAGTCATCAAATTCCCCCACACTTAACCGTTTGCTTGTCCCCAAGCAAACCAAGTCAGATATAAGGTAAGCTCAACATATTTCAATCATACCAACATTGGGGACAAACCATATAGGCACAGAACACGTGAATCATACTGGCTTTTGATCAATGACATATGGACAACTCAACAGCAACCTAGACAACCACCACAGAGGACATTCGAGTGCAGCAAAATCGCGTAAAGGAAGAGGAATCCTTTCTGTTCACCAACCAACATAGACTTGACTCAACCAATTGGCCAGGACAGTCGTCGCATGCATCAAACTCAAGACATCAGTATCAAGACCGAGCCATCTAGGTCCTCACCGGGGTAAAGAGCATAAAGTTTAAGGAAATGAATCGCTCACTCTCGACTAGTGGGGTCAGGACACTTTGATGTGAAAAATGCGCATGCTTATTCTCTCAAATCCTAACATCTCTTCACCATGATGGCAACCTCTAAATGTTAGAGTTCACACAAGGGATGTCACCACTAACTAATCCGGAGGTCTTAGACACAGGTGCAAGTGACAACGTGAACCACCACCTCTGCACATTTTTCAAACACATGCCCAAATTATAAGCATTACCTCCAACCCTCACATTATATTTAGCAGAAACAGCAGAGAACATGCAAAAACCACTCTGTGGAACCTTCTAAGAGATGCAAAAGGGTGATTTTCCATTGTAGACCGAAAGAAAAAAAAGTACACAACTCAAAGGGGCTGACTAGGGGGTATGACACACCAGGACAGTCAATTTGGTCGTGGGATATTCCTATGCCTCCATCATCCTAATTAGTGACAACGTGAATGCTACACATCATGGAAGAGGGATCTATTGCACAAGAAAGAAACGAGCAGGCTCAAATCTCACGTGGCTACCTATATGCTCTATCTCTCATTCTGATTCCCTGAACTAGATGCATAAATGATTGTCAAGAGCAAGTGATCAATCCAAGTCACAGTTGGTAAGCAAACAGTTGAAAATTGAACCCCTACACAATTCTACTGCACATCTCAATCATCATTATAGGCTGTCCTAGTTACAATCAAGCTGCCATGCAATAATTCGAAAGCCATTCGATTCACCAATCAAATCCACAGTGCCAATATGATCATGCAAAACTCAGTACTTGGAGCCCTCAAATCTCAAGATTTGGACAGCGGACTAGGCTGCAAGCACACATATATAGATTCCAACCAATACAAAGCACCCCCCCCCCCCCACACACACACTTAAGATCAACATTGCCCTCAATGGAGCAGAGGGAAAGAGAAGGGGAACGATGTTACCGGGTGGAAATACTGCCGGGACACTGGAAGTGGACTAGTCAGCGTGAAATGGATGGAACGACGAAACAGTTCTACACAAAGGGAACATAATGAACACACTAGCACACTGTGGGTTAGGGATCAGAATTAGCCTAGATGGGCACGAAACAGACAATCGACAAAATAAAGCAAAAGAAAACACACACGAAAGACTCAGTTCAAGCTTCGAACACACATGGAGCAAACACGAAAAATCCAAAACAAAAGCACACTCGGAGGAGCGACAAGGACAGACTACTCGTCGCCAAGGTTGTCAAGGTCGATGTCGTGCACGAAGGCATCAACATCGGCTGGCGGGGGTGGAAGTGGAGAGTCCTCCCAGGGAGTCCTCCAGACTGGCTGCTCGCTCGATATAAGCTGGAGCAGGTGCTGCTGGACCTCTTGCATACGCCGAGACCAGCCCCGCTCCCTCTTGATTTGAGCAAGGGTCACCCCCTGCTGGGCCTCCATTCGGTCGAGGCGCTCATCATATGCAGCCATCTGGGTATTATACTCGGCCTGGTGAGCTGAGTACTGTTGCTGGAATTGGAGATGATGGTCAAGGAGTTTCTGATTTTGGAGACTCAGCTGCTGGAACTGGTGAGTGAAGTAGTCCTGGGATGAAAAAGTAGAACTGCCACCCCCGTACTCAAAGGTGGTCTGGTGGGGGGCATCAACAACGTCCACATCATCGGGGTGGACATCCTTAGTTGCCTCATCCTCAGGAACATCAGGCTGATCCTCCACAGGGAGTGGTGGAGCGGGAAACCCCGCGATCCACTTGACGCCGCACTCGACTCTCAGTAGGTGCATCTTCGAGATCGTGTCTTCGCCATAGACACTAGTGACCCCCTGCTCTGTGCAACCCTGCAGTGGGATCTGGAAGTAGGTGACCAAGCGGGTGATGAGGGGGGTGCAGTGGAGGGTCCTCAGTTGTAAAGCACTCTTGTCCAAAGTCCTAGCCACCACAGGATCCAGGTTGAGAGGATGGTCCGCCGTGCAGATGGACTGGATGAAGTACATGGACCTCCTGGTGAGGGTGCTGGCACTGTCCCCAACTAGAGTGAAGGACTTCGCTAGCATGTGGTGGAGAATGCGGTTATCAAGCTGCAGGGTGCTAGCCTTCTTCC